CGCAAGACTACATGACATAAACAGTCCCCTGATGCATGAGCAGTACTTACCCATGGACAGAGACAGGCTAATGCATTTTGGAGACAAACAGCAGAAGTGTTTGAACCTGAAAAGTGGCCTGTGCTGCACTGGCCGTCACCAGCTCAGAGAGAAATTCTGTGTCTTGCAGACCTGAAGAAATCAGGACATGCCTTTAGCTGCCTGATCCAGATTTAAACATCTGCTCTTCACAAAGGAAGTGAGAAGGAGAAAGGTGGACAACATAGTGAAAGTGCAATGAAATGTGTTTCAAGCACATGGTGATGCACCTATTGCAATCCTACTCATACAGCTGAGAGATCTATTTCAGCTACTAAGATGCAAGTATCTGCTCTAACCTCACTGGGTTCACATGGACATTCACAGAATCTCCTCTGGTACGTGGTTTCATTGATACCACATGGACATTATTTCTGTCTGGCAAGGAAAGGGATTAAAAGCTGAAGTGTGCAGCCAGGCCAACCGGAATCAGCAAGTTCTTTGGATTTCAGACATTTCTAGAACAAGAACGTACAAGCTGGTTTTGAAGTCAGAACAGAGCAAGCCGAAGGCTCAAAGATGAAGCCACTCCCCAGGAATACAGGGGACACGTATTACCTGTGGTGTGTGTATTCTCCCAAATCTGTCTGTTTTCTTAGCTTGAGAGGTAGAATTTGTGCATAACTCATGACCTGTCTTTTGAAAGGAGCACGAAATGATAGCCAACGCCTGGGGCACTGATTTCAGAAAGTGCCCAGCGCACAGTCCCGTGTCTGGCTGCAGTGGGCAGCAGTATAACCAGAGTGGCAGGAGACTGCCAGCCGGCCTGCAGAGACGTGCAAGGCAGCCATGCTGCGCCAGCACTGCCAAAACAATAAACGCACTTACAGAATGAAGTCCTGTGCTTCATCACCATTGTTTCCCAGGGCATGAAGCTACTCCTATCTAAGAGGTGAAAACAGGGACTGGACTCTACCGTTTCTTGCCTATTGCCTTTTTACAAAACACCACCCTGTGCAAAGCCACTCAGACATCAGCTTTTGGGACAGGCTGCCAGTGTAAAGTGGGAAAACCAAACCCAAGCCCAGAACCAAGACATGTGGCCTGTTTTTCGGTTTCCACTTGAGCACAGGTGGTTGCCTTCCCTCTTGCAGTTGCCAAAAGAGCAATGGCAACCCATCCAATCAGCATCTTTATCAGTCATTCAATGTCTATAGTTCAAGGGATGTTATTTTGATACTCCTAAGTTAGCTCCTTCTTGACTGTCATTTCGGCACAGCCAAGCCATTGAGCATTTTGCAGGCATTTGGGCAGTTGGTACCTGTAGCCCAGCACTGCAGCCAGTTCTGGGACATGGTGGATGTAACCACCCCACTGGGATGCAAAAAGGATACACTTATCTGGCTACACACTTGAAAGCTTAGTGCTTGAATGAGCTGCACACCATCTACTTCCTAACTGCTCCAAGTCACAGGGACCTGTTTTCTTTGGAGCTGGCCAAACTTGCAAGCAGTTGGTCACAAATAAATAACTCTCAGGTGACAACGATTGTTTCAAACTACTCAGCTGCTTTCTTCTTCTTTTTTTGGTAAGTCCTCTTCCTCTCTCCTCACCTCAGCCTCTTTACGAGTATACACAGACAATGATCTGAGAGCATGCAAGAGAAAATGCTTTGCCTTTTCCTGAAAGCTCTCTGCCGAGAGTGGTGTTTCCCCACCTCCACGCTGCTGACAAACGCTGATGTAAACAGCATGCATATGCCCGCCTAAAAGGCCACGGGGGTTTTCATGTGAATCCTGTGTTTTTTCCACAAACCCTGTTACACTGTATTTCAGCTTAAAATGTATCTATCATCTCCTCATTTCTGGTTAATTTACAGTCCCTCTAAGGCTAATACAGTTTACAGCAGTAGGCAAAACCACTTAGCAGAACCAAATTCTGAATAAAGGTACTTCAGCTGCAGAGCTCTGGCACAAAACCCTTTCAAAAATGGTTTTAAGAGTGGCCATATTAAAATCAGACAAACCAATACTGACACAAACTGCACACTGAAATCGCTTGAAAAAACACCAGCTATGCCTTTGGTGTTGACAGGAGCAAAACGTGTCATTTGTAACGCCACCAAAATCATAACAGGAAGGAAGTAGACCTGAGAAACTATAAACAGGAGTTAACAGAGGTAGGAAGTACTTCAAATGCTTTCACATAGTGACTTTAAAAAACTACTAAGAGGAGAAAATGTTTTCAGGGTTGGGTTTTTTTTTTTGATTGCTTTGTTTTTCCACTTTACGTATCCATTAGGTATTTTGAAGAGTAAGAGAAGGTCACAAAGTCAAATGTGGCTTTTAAGTCCTCACGTGCAAAATAATTTATGGTATAAATCAACAGCTTGATTTTCCTTCTGCTCTTCCCCCAGACCCATCCCTCCAAGAGAAATATCTCAACCTCTTCAGTTAAAATAAGTCTTTCACCTGCATCTCTCGGCATCTCAACTAAGCAAGCTGTGTTTGGCCAGAACATGGTACTCTTCTCCTTCCCTCTTCACAGACATTAATTTGATGCTTTAATGATGCTCCTTCAAGGAAAATAATTAAACACTCATTCAAAAGCCAAAAAAGATAATGCACCTTGGTAGTCGAGAGGAGCCTCCAAGTGAAGAGAAAACGCCCGCCCCCCATCTTCACAAATCTTGTAACTACTTTTCACACCTTACTCTGGCTGTATGCTACTGTACCCACGGAGCCTTCTCAGGACCTTGATTTACAGTAAGCAGGGGTTGCCTGATGAAATTCACTCCTATTCTTAACTTTAGTTTACTTGTCATGTTCCTTTTCACCCTTTCACAGCTTTTCCCACATGAAAGCACTCTGGAAACTATAGTGACCAGTAGCCACCAACTCCACCTCCAGCCACCAGCTCAGCAAGTGGTGTGTCAGAGGGTCCCCAAGTACTTGGCTGGGCCTGGTCTCCAGCCCCAGAGGCCATGGAGGGGCAGAGCCCTCAGGATCAGCACCAGATCCTCAGCTGCAGGGCTCTGCTGCATCGTCCGTAGCTCAGGAAACCAACAGCCAAAGGGCAACCTCCCTATTTTCCCTTTTTCTACCAACTGTAGCTAATATCGCAGGCATTTTCATAAGCAAAAATCCTTACCTTTTGACCTTTCTCTGCACTTTTGGCTTAGAACACAGTTCCCCATAGATTTAGCCAGCAGTGCTGCCCAGGTTCACAGTGCAGAACCGCATGCATTAGATTTGCTGTTAGATTTGTCCCACGACTGAAAACAACACATACAAATCAAGTTGGTAGGGAATAACGACTTTATTCTAAGATGTGAGCTGAAGCATATGAGCATATGAAGCAACAACCACTAGAAAAAAAGTGAAAAACACATCAAATATTTGTATTGTACCAGTTCAGTTTGAACACAATAGTCCCTTTCAGTAAAATGTATGCACAGGCCAAAAGCATATGCAGAAGCTCTGAAGGATCCCTAGAGCAGTGATTTTTAATGTCTAAGAAAGAGGTCTCTCCTAAGAAGATCTTTAAGCCAGGAAAAACTCTTCAAGTAACAAAGTAAAAATGATCTGTTAATTCCGCTTGGCACTATGGAGGAGGAGAGGGATAATATATCCCAAGAGAGTATGCATCTTTAAGATGTATAAATTCAAAGTCCCTAGAACACAAGTCTGCTGCCAGACCAAGTACCGGTTTTCCTTCCTCATTCAGAAAGTCAAGTGAAGTATGTCTGTTAAGCATGGGGAGATCATGTTCTGCAGCTAGCTACTAAGATCACACAGTCTGCTCACCAGCGAGAAAATTTCTCTGACATGCATACACAACAGATCTCTTCTCTTTGTCTTTATAACAGCACCCTATCATTAAAAGCTGCAAATTGCATCAAATTCTGTAAAATTTTTGAAAACAAATGTTAAAACAAGTATTTCCTTGACTGTCTTAATACAGGAGGCCAAATGCTGCTGTCCTTGAACTCTCACATTCATTTCAGTACCATTGGAAGAAAGCTCCAAGTGCACACAAAGAGCAGAGCTGGCTCTGTGTAAGCCAGAGATAGTGCTTATTTTAACCTGGCTCGTGCATGTGACATAAAAAAAAGGGCTAGCAGGACCATTTCTGTGTTATTTTCAAGGTCTATCAACTTAATTCTAATGCATACATATATAATGCATAGTAGCTTTCAATTTTAATAAAAATGTAACTTATTTTTAAACCTGCTCTTCGGGACTCTAGAACTTTAGTGGCTTATCCACTAAATTCACAGGTACTTTGAGCTGCACGGTCACTTTTCTTAACACAGTACCATAAATGCATCACCTTAGAAACTGCTATTATGGGAGCTAATCCAATAAGAATAGCGGCAGCAACAAAATTCATTGTCAGGACAAATATCAGTCAGGCACTAAAAAAAATACGTCTTGGAAAAATTGCATTGTTTTTAAAAAATACACTGGAATATTCTGTACAAGAATATAGGCACCACACGAATCTAAATTTATAACCACTTACATGTTTCAGCTAGTCTCAACAAACCATCTACGTTTGCTACGCACCTATAGTAGCTACAGTTCCAAATCGGGAACACCACAAATTTATGTACCTTCCCTGAGATCAGTAATCCAAAATAAATAGCCCTGCAAAAGTAAGAGTGTAAACTCTGGATTTAAATCTTCTGTAAGAATCAGTCCTCAAAACCCAAGGAGAACATTACGCAAACGTAAACATAGCAATCATTTTGTCAGTTTTGAGTTATTCTCAGCAACAGTGGAACCTATGTAAGATGTGGCATCCAAATGTTGAAGACCCGTCATTTGCATCATACAATATGGTTGTCCTAGTTCACTTTCCTATATTGAACCCCTGAACACATCCAGCTGTGATATGGATCTCTAAATCGTGATCCAGATCTGCTCCTCCACTCTGCATAATCTTTACAGTGCCTTTAAAAATACTCTTTTCTGAGGATCTTATTCTTGAATAGAGGAATGGCGAATAGATCTGTGATAATCCTCTGGACTAGTCACAAGTTCTGGTAAATCATAGCCTCTCAGAAGATGTCCACTGTTTTGTTGAGCAAAGTAATACAGCTGCCTGGCAAACATTGGTTCAACCTTAAGAACAGACAAAATGTTAATCAGACATGTGACAAAATTTCAAGCTCCTTATCTTAGTTAATCACAGAGGTTTTAACTTAAAAACAAGGCAGGACAAAACAGTTCTGCTTACCAAGATGGGAAAACTATGTCAGTGGCCTCACTGTCTCTGTTCTAAGCTAAGCCTTGCCTGTTCTGCTGCCAAGTGGCCTTGCAAACTGCACACACTCCTTACCAGGATGACTTTCATTTAAAAGGGCACGACCAGTGACACAAACGATGTTATTAGCAATTGCAGCCCTTTAGCCAGCCCCTGAGTGATGCCTATAGGCTACACGTCTGTGGCCACTCTGCTTGTTCAAATGCATATGCAAAGTGCTGAAAGTCTCCTTTCATTGTAAAGCACTTTGAGGACTGAACTCTAAATGCTGGAGCCCCCAGGTAGACTGAGATACATTGCCAAATAACTGTGTGAAATCAGACTTCAGTCTAACACCAAGGTTACTCTTGTTTCTGTTTGTTCAAGCTGATGAGGAATCTCTTCAACCACTCAGCGAGATTTGTATGATTTAATGCTGCCTTCACTTCTGTCTCTTCAGAAACCACTGTTCCACCTCAGAACTTTGGGCTCTAACAGCAAGTATTTAAGTTGCACACTGAGAAAAAGCACCTGAAGCTCTCCTTACTCTTGGGGATGAACAGGTTGGACAACTCTTCCCCACAACCCTCTCCCACTGGTCAGAGAGCCCCTCCATGTTAAGATATGGGCACCAGTTTGGAAGAAAAATACACTGTCTTTGGTTCCCACCTTCGAGAAGGGATAACTGCCTTGGAGCAGGCCCACCAATTCCCCCTTCCTTTCCTTTTATCTGTATTTGGAGGCAGCTAAGCACCTTCCATCCTGCCATGGGGGATATGGGAAGGCAGTGGGGCAAGTGATTCATACAGCTCCTGGGGCATAGCTGTGTGGTGGGATGGTGGAGCCCCACCAGCCCACAAGCTGGGACAGCCCAGGAGATTGAGTAGGTTGAGAAGCAACTGGTAACGGGGAAGCAAAGCTCTGGAAAGAGCAAGAGGTACACAAAGAAGCTGCCAAGTCAGGAGCTGAAGAAGGGGGTTGGAGCGCGGATGCTATGAGGGAAGAGTGGAAAGCTGGAAAGCCAAAATGGGGACAGAGACTTTCAAAAAATTAAAGACATCAGTTTTCCTCCCAAGGATTCAGCAAGTTAAGCCCTGCCACCAATGTGTGCATTATCACCTCTCTTGTGGCTTTATGGACTAATGCAGACAATTTAGAAAGTACCTGGTCTCAGTCTCCGTCATCACCCTTTCTCAGATAGCATCCTGAAAGACCAGCTTTGAGTGTGTGCGAACTGTGGTCAGGGAGCCCATGAGCCTTCCAGTTACTTTAACCCTGAAGCTGCACAGGCAGCTCCTTCATCCTGTAAGGGCTGAGGTCCCTGAGATGCAGGTTTCTAGAGCACTTTTAGGTGCAGCAGTTGTGAAAACACTATGTCCTGCACCGACCTGGCAGTCCAAGGTGCTGTGCAGCTGGGATGGTGACAACAACATGGCCCAGCTCTTCCAGGGTACTTTTTAGCTTTAGGTTTTGAAGGGATTTGCAAGAGATTACGGATGATGTTTATGCTCTGCAGAGACAGAAACCAGGTGCTCTGCCCTACTGAGGACTACCAGTCAGTCCTAGGCAGATCTGGGGATTCAATCCTGGTCTGAATGGTGCCACATTTCCAATAATTTATTACCTCATTCAGAACCTACACAAGGTAGAAAAGCCTGGCTGGCAGACTCACATCCTCCACAGAATATGTTTCCTTTAGGTAAGGCAGAAGTCCTACTTACATGGGCTGTAATTAGCTTCCTCTGCCTCTGCGGATCTGGAAATTCCTCCCCAAAGCACAGAGCAACCTGGTATCTCGGCAGTGGACGTCCATGGTGAGCAAAGGCTTGCAGCTCTGGAAAGAAAGAGACATGCTATAGGTTAACCCCAGTAGGCAGGCAAGCACCATGCAGCTGCTCACTAGCTCCCACCACCAGGATGGGAGAGAAAGTTGGAAGGGCAAAAGTGAAAAATTTTGTGGGTTGAGATGAAGACAGTTTAATAGATAAAAAAACCCAAAAAAAAACAAAAAAACCCACCCCAAAAAACAACAACCAAACAAAAAAGACCAAACAAGACAAAATAAAACAAGTGATGGAAAAAGCCATCACTCCCATGGGGCACCACCAGCCAACCAATGTCCAGCCAGTCCCCAAGCAACAGCAACCTCTGCAACCTCTGGCAAACCCTTCCCACAGTTTTACTGTTGCCCGCAAGGTCATATAGTAGGGAATATCCCTTTGGTAACATTGGATCAGCTGTCCCAGCTGTGTGCCCTCCCAGCCTCTTGTCTACCCCAGCTTACTTGCTGTGGGGGTAGAGTGAGAAACGGAGAAAGCCCTGACACTGTGCAAGCACTGTTCAGCATTAGCTAAAACATCCCCATGTTATCAGCACTGTTTTCAGCACAAATCCAAACCATAGCACCACATGGGCTGCTATGAAGAAAATTAACTCTGTCCCAGCCAAAACAGGTACAGGCTGGTAAGAAAGACTTTGTGGATGGCTGAGCTCTAAATGGATGACCCTGGAGGACAGTGGGAGAAGTACTCCAGGGGAGGATAAGAGAGGTCAGGTAGGGAGAATACACTGAGTTTGGAGACTTTCCCACAGACCGGGGGGGAGCTAGTCACAAAACTGCAAATTTTCTATTTGTCTTGTCTCACAAGTCATTTCATATGCACAAACTGGGATGTCTTCCAATTAATGTTTCTATTTGGCCTCAACAGCAGAACCTTCTGGAGCAGATGCTGGCAGTAGCTGGGACCCACTCAAGCAGACACCCACCAGCAGGACTGAAGCCAATGACTTAGTGGACCCAGAGACTCAAAGTACTGCCAGGCACGAGATTCAGTCTTGGCTAGACACAGTCATGGAGCCACTGTCATCCCTGAGCCAAGAGGGGCCAGGGAGGCAAGGGAAGGTAAAGAACTTTCTTTAAGCCATGCATCGAGCCAGCAAAAGAGCCCGTCTTCTGTGCTTCTGTACTCTCTTCACTAACCCACACCCTTGCACAAAGGAAAAAGGTCAAATGATATAATTATTCCAACAGTCAAAGTGTCCCCAATGAAAGACAGCAGGGGACACCTTCATAAGAGACTTCCACTTGGACCAAAATCAGTGTTGTGTTGTAGACACTGTATATCCTTCCAGAAAGGAGAAAATTCCATCTACATAATATGCTTGTTAAAGTCTGTGTTACACGTAGTATTTCTACACAGTTGATTGGTAAAGATTACATTTTAATTTATACCTCTGTTCATGCTTTCTCGAAAAAGTTGAAATTAACATTAAAACCAACGTCTTATAATGAAGCAACCCCTGCTATACAGGGAAAGTCTTTGAACTTTGCGTAACAAATGCATCTTTTCCCAAAATACACTTCTGCCATTTCTACTCTAACTGCAAGATTTTCAGAACAAGGTGTCAATTCGGTGGCTATCACAGAGTGTCCTAACCCTGGCTTGGGACTACTGGTCTTACTGGGAGGGTTGGTTATAGTTGTAAATCAACAGGCAGCTCACTTAAAACACAGTCTCCACCAGAACCCCCTAAAACTGCTGTGGACTTTCCAGAGGTATGTCAGAATAGAAGAGATATTTTCCATGGGGCCCTGCTTCCCTCTGTGCTGCCACAGGACCAGGCAGGATGATCTATCAAAGGCCAGTCCAACCGTACCGGTAACAGGGAACTTCTTCCACCTTCCTCTTCCCTCCTGTTTTACCTGGTGTCAGCAATTCTCCAAATCCCAAATACTTGTGGGAGTGCCTCCTACTCTCCAACCCTGCCTAATTTACTCTTCATTACACAGTACTCCCCAGAGACCATCCACCTGGTTTCTGACTTACTGCCATTTTAGCCTTCTCAACAGTACAGGCTGCTCAACACAGGCCTTGATGCTCTGGTGTCGTTTGGATTGCAGAATACAGCTCCTCAATGGGGTCCACCTAGCTGTGGTGCATAGCAGTTCTGCATCTGCCCTTTTCTCGGCTGTCCAAGATTTCCTCTCCTGGTAAAGGTCTCCTGCCTCTCTTCCCAAGGAAGGCCCAGTTTCCTAAGTGGGGGATCCCTAAGCTTGCCTGAACTCTGGGACCTCAGTACATTCAATTAACATGCAGATGTGATACACCCATGGCAAGTCACTTACAAACCTAGCTGAGCATCAACACATGCAAAAACTCAATTTGCACACACCGCAGACTATGACTCCAACCACATGCTTGGGTTTGCACAGGCACTGGTGCATAAGTAATTTAGGAGGGGAAAAAAATAACTACTGTTGGGCTTATCTTTGGGGTTAGGTGTCTAAAAGGAGATGTCCTGTCAACCGTTTGGAACAACCCAGAGTACATCTGAAAAACCACCTGAGAAAAGGGAAAGGGATTTCCAAAACTATCATCAGAGACAGACTTATACGTCTTTAAATTAGCATGTGATTGAAGCCCAAGCCAATACCCTGACCTCAAATTCCCCTTTTCTAACTGTCAATTGTCACGTCCATGTGAGATTTCTCTCACTAAATGCATTTCTTGCCTGACCACTTTGCTAGGATGGTGTATCAACCCTGGAATACAAAGTATGCTAAAGCTCTTGGTTTGGGTTTGCTGTTGTGGGTTTTTAATTCTGCAGGGCATTATTCTCTTGAAAGGGTCATGCCAATGCTGGTGCCCTCTTCTAATGGGAAAACACACCTAACCCATAGGCACACAGTTCACATACAGCAATGCCACACAGCTCAAAAAAGGGACAATTTGTATTCCTGATGCCCACGCTGTCCTCTGGGACAATTACTGTCTCCCACCAGTTTCCCTGTGTGGACAGCTTTCCTCCCTCTAATCTAACTGCTCAGAAGTGCTGCAAAGTGGGGTTGAGGGTCAGCCCTTCCCTCCATGGGCTGGAAGGAGAAGGCACAGTCCTAAAGCGTGCCCTTGCCCACTCTGTACTGCCCTGTGCAAAACAAGACCTTCCCACAGAGCTCTGGAGAGGTAATGCACATCCTTGATAAGAGTATTAGGCAATCCTGAAGCTCCAGGAGCTCTGCTCCTTTATACCCCCAAGACAGCTTTTAACGACTGGCAGAGCCCGAAAAGAGCCTTTTCTACTGAAATTCACGATGGTGTTTGTATACTCTGAGCAAGATCTCAGGCTTGCTCTGGGTCAAGTTGAGAGCACTGCGAATGCAGACAACAGACCTACCCAGGACTTAACACTAGCAGATCCAAGATCAGGATCCACTTTCCTCTGTCACTCAATTTGTGGAAAGACTACTTCATTAGGTTCCTCCTTATGCTTAAAAATATGTGGGGGTTTGGGTGCCACCAGCTGAGCATCAGTCCACTCCTGCTTGTCTATGAAGGGGTACTGAACATGCACAGAGAGCAGAATTTGACTGGGATATTCAGAAGCCAACCATCCCTTGACTACACTTGCCCAGAAGAAGTGAGGGGTAATTCATAAAGCCACATCAAAAGAGCACTCCCATAAAGCTCTTCCCATAAAGATGTCACCCAGAGAGCAACTGGATGACATCTCCAGAAACAGTATCAAAGCTGCAGCGAGAATTACCTGCTAGAAACTGCTGAGTATCAAAGAGCTTGCATGTTTGGTCCCTCTCCAGCTTGTTGGGTCTGTCACTGCAAAGCGCCAGAGGCCCATCCCAGTAGATCCTGCTCTGGCAAAGTCTCTTAGCGTAGAGGCCATCAGGTGCCATCCACAGTATTACTCCTCGTTCCAGGTGGTTCAGTAGCTTTTCTATGTTCTTCCTCTGGCCATTATCCTCTGGATAAGGGAAGATAACTTGGTCCAGGCTGCTGACCTCGTAACTTTGGCCATGGGATATCCTACAGCCTTCAGGACTAGAAGTTGTCACCTCCTTTACCAGTATTTCACGGTAATATAAGCAGATGTGGAGTCGGCAATCTACAAGGAGAAAGAAAAAAGAAAAAGAATCGCTGTGGTACATTAGTATGAATGGTTTACGTTTCAGATCTGTAGTAAGGCTAAGAGACAAGTCTGCATGAGATACCTGAACCTGGTGACCACAACCAAGCAGAAGCTCAAATTAGCAAAAATCATATAAAGATACAAATACTTTTGGAGAATGGCAGCATTAATGGTGCCTCATTTTATTATAAGGGCTACTGATATGGGAATTTGGTAGGAACTAACATCCCACAAACTTCATATATCCATTCAAAAAGAAAAGTCATTGTTCATCACATTTTCCAAGTTCAAGTCATAATTAAACCCACTGGCTCAGTACACTTCCTCCCATTTTATCAAGAAGTAGCTGTGTTTCTGCCCAGATTTTGCATAAAGGATGTTTCTGCACAGGGGACCTGCAAACTTGCACTCAGCTGCCCCAAGAGAAGCTACTGTTGGCTCCACCACCAACAGAGCTACACCCAAAATTCCCAGCCTTACTTTCAAATGGCCATTTGGTCAACTTGGCTGACCTTTAAGAACTCACACAGCACTGTATATATACGTATGTTTGTGTGTGTGTGTTTAATATACATATGTATGTAAAACATATATGTATGTGTATATAATATATGTTTTTATATATACATACAGACAAACACACACGCATACGTATATACACATACAGACAGACCCTGATTCAGGAGAACAAGAAACTTGCCAAGCGTCATGTTACGGGTTTATTCCTTATTTCTGTAAAAGCACATTCCCACACCTTTTCCCAGAGTTATTCAGGAAGTCCCACAGCATCCAGTCATGTGCAAACCTGGCTGAAATAACTTCCCTTTTCTCTCCCAAATGCCTTACTTTCACTAGGAATAATGAAGCAGAGCAAAGCCAGATGGCACTAGCAGGAGCACAGCAAGTTACCCAGCTAACACCAAGTTTTGTGGGGGCTCCTCCCAAATAACAAAAGTCACTGACCCCCCAAAATTACCAAACTCCCCTGGAAGGCCTGATTCGGTGGCTCACCAAAGCAATCCAGCAACTAACACCGTGAGCCAGAGAAGCACTTCCATAACTTTAACCACCTACATCTCCTGGAGCTGGGGCTACATGTGCTTAAGTATCATAGAAAACAGAGGCTTAAGACCAAACACCAAATCCATTCACTAGAGAGGTTTCTTTTTTTCTTTTCTTTACATCAGAAAGGAGAGATGGTGCCAGGGCAAGTCAGAAGTGGGAGTCTCTTGCCAAGCTCCCCAGAAAGCCCGGGGGGTGACGGACCTTACCTGACAAGGCGAGGGCTTCACCAGACCTTATGCTTGGCTCAATCGGGATGCCAGGAGTCTGAGACTCAGGAGGGGCACAAGCATAAAAGGTTCCTGTCACCTGACAACCTGTTTTCACAAACAAAAGTCAGTGACAGCTGCCTAAATCCTAAAAGAAAAGTTTGGGCAGACGTCATAGCGATTCAAAAGCAAGATTTTCTGGGTCTACCAGGAATGTTTTCTTTCCCCCTTCTTAAAAAGGATCTATTTCCCAATTTTTCCAGGTATGCAAACTCTACCAGTCTCTCCAGATGTGATTTGGGCATTTTTACTTGGGTCCGCAGGAAATACTCCCTTAACATTTCAGTATTCCTCCTAGTCCTTCCTCCTTACCTAATGTGTTATTATAGAATAATGCATTATTCTAATTATTATTCTAATGTAATATTCTATAATACATCATAGAATGTATTATTTTATATAGAATATATTTTATAGAATGTATTTTACACTGAATGTACTATTCTGTAACATATTATATATTATTCTATAATACATTATAGAATAATACATTAGAATATATTCTAGAATACATTATAGAATAATAGCATAAGAATAATACAGAAATCATTTACATTTTTAACTAGACTTCAGTGCTCTTAAAAGCGGCCTGATAAAACAATCCATTTCATATAAGGAATTCTACTAAAGACTGTCATAACAGTAAAGCTGGAATTAATACTGTTTAAAAAGTAGAAAAATGCGCTACGGGAGATTGTTAGGGGTTTACTACCAGGACTACTAGTCAATTGTTTCAAGAGATGCCTTTCAGTAAGTGGACATGGACATTTGATGTTTTCCTCTGTTTCTTAATGTCAGTAAAAGTCTCTGGAGGATGATGCAAGTGACTTGCAGACAAGCGCACGCTACCTTTCCCAGTGGCAGAACCCACCGTGACCATGAGCTGAAGCAATGCAGATGCAAAACACCCACATCTCTTGACACATTTTAGAGCCCAATGAGAAACCCAATACCAGCCACCACCAACTGCCTCCAAATTCAGCAACCTGTGTTTAACTGCTGCAGAGGATGTACTTCAGGGCAGAGTTCATCCAGCTGGCTACCTTCAACTTTTATTAGCAAATAGCAAACGATTCTGCCTAATAATTCCAATATACTGCCAGCAAATGTTGCAGTGCACTAAGCATTTACTTTTTAGCAGACCCAAAGATTTCTCTGCACGAAAACTTCTAGAGAGGTGTCCTCTGAAAATGCAGTATCTGCCCTAAGAAGTACCTTCTTACTTCCCATCTCTTCCTGCCCTTCTGAACCAGCTGCTTCTCCTCACAAAGCAAATGCTTGCATCCTCAGCTGAGTTATCTGCAAGGGTCTACAGCATACAGTTCCCTTTCTCTTATGTTTTATCCCCTGCAGGCTTTAGCACTGCAAATTTTCACAATTCAGGCTTTTTCCTAAGGATGCAGAGCTTGGAAAGCCATGGTTATGTTAGGCTTTAGTACTCTGAGATCTTTGGGGAAGGGAACGTCCTTTTATTCTGTTTGTGCTGTACCAGCCCCAAGAAAGACTCAGTCCATGATAAGTTGTCCCATTTGCTGCAGCACTTAAATAAAGTAATAATTTCATCTTTCCTCTTGGGAGAATAATGCCATTCTAATCCGCAAGGCTGGAGGGAAAAAGCTCACTGATGTGTGCCTCAGAAGATCCAAAATCAGAAAGCAAAGCTAAAGAACACATGTTCCCATTTGGGGTTTAGCAGTGGGTTGGTTAACTTCTTATTGTTCAGGGCTTTTGAGACAACTGAGGACTTTGGGGGGCTGACTATGGTGGCAATGAAAGCAAGAGCCAGGACAAAGGCTTTTGCCACAGACAGCGTGACTCTCCTTTTGAAAGGAACCCAGCCACTTCTGTTAATTCCAATCAAAGCCATGAATAAGAAACCTGAAATCTACAGCCCTTCTAGGTGACCAACCTCAGCAAGCAACCCTAAATGGGAGCCTCTTACCATTTTCACAGCCGGGCCCTTGCCAGTGATGACTGCGAGCTGCGAAGGGGACGCTGGCACACTGGTAGGGGATGTCAGGATGCGGCTGCTCTGGGGCAAACTCCCTCCAGTTCCGCTCGTGGGGCACCATGTAGTTTGGTACCTATTCGATTTAACGAGATAGTCTTTTACTCAGCAGCTGTCAAAACTAATGCTAGGCGTTACATCAGCTTTCACATCTCAGCAACTTGATTTTCTCTGCCAAAGCCCATGGAGGCCTAAGCATTGCTCAGGCTACAGGCCTGGCACCTTGCCACCACCACCAGTGAGGCTTTCAAACGAACTTCTCACCACTGGAGTAAATAATAATCAGGGTGGAAAACAAAAGGCAGTCAAAGCATTGCTGGTAAACGTCTGCTTGGAAGAGCAAGGCTTCACTGGGTGCTTACATTCTAGCATCAAGAGAATGGCAGTGCACTAATATCTATCATCCAGCAGAAAACAGCTATTACTCAGGGATAAACAACACCAAGGGAAACCAACTTGCCCTGTGGCCTCATGTGACATTAGAAAAGTTGCTTCTCAGTTTCTCAGTTTCCATAATGAAGTTTCTTCCCAGAGATAACTAGAGAGCCATGCCAGCCCAGACAGCACATAGCACAGAAATGATGCTGCTCCATGTACAAGCACCAAGTGACATGTGCAACTGATGCCATACCTGAGATGGGAGTGAAGTGTAAGGAGATGGTATTGGAAAGGGGTGGTTCATCATTAACGGTTGCTCCTCCATGCTGATCTGTTTTGCACCTATGTTCACCAGAGGGATGAAAATAAATTATGTCAACCACATCTTGAGGAAATCTGAAACTGGCACACGGAAGACAAATCCATACAACCTGCCTCTGACCAAGCAGAGGACCAAAGTGCTCTCCAGCACCCATTTGGGACAGAATTCCCAGCCTTCGCTTGCAGGCAGCTCCAGGATGACTTCAGTCCTGCTGGGGTCTCCAGCGCCCCACAGGAACGTGCTGCCCAGCCATACCCAGTGTTCCATGATGTCTTCCCCAGGCCCTGACAAGTCTTAGCCTCCTGCAAGCCCTGCCTGGCACTGACCCTGGCCTCTGCCCAGGAGCCTGCAGGCTGGGCATCCCTTGCTCCCAGCAGTTACCTACTGCTCAAATCACTTCTGCCCTTCCCTGTGTTCAAAACCTAGATCCAGCAAGCCATTTATTTTCCTTTCTGGCTGCCTCTTGAGCCACTCACTTGGCTCTCACCACACAGAACTGGCAGGGAGGCTCCAGCTAAAAGAGCAGTTCCCCCAGCAATGTGCAGGGCGCCTGACTGCACCTTCTGCAAGGGCTCCCTTTCAACACTCCAACTCAAATGCCAGCAGTCCTCCCGCAGATGCAGCCTCTGAAGTCATCAGAACAAGCTGCACTTGAGCCCTGCATTCTGGCTCCTTGAAAGACTTTAAAAGACCACAGGGCCATTCCATACAAGCACACTTCAGTCCTCATGTGCTTACAATGAGACATATTCACACTCTGTTACACAGGGAATTTGGGATGCTTTACCTTTTTTAGCTCCTTCTGGCACTATTCTGTACACTTTATAGGGATCTGAGATGTCCAGCTGGCTTCTCTCCACCAGTTCTTCAAAGTCATTGCTCTTGTTCAAAGCACACCTTAATCTTGTCTTCCAGGTAGGGGGATCTGGTTTATCAATGCCCTCTCTGAACTTTCCTTTAAAAAGAGCCCAAGCCTGGAAATATTTCAGATAATCAAAAGAACAAGAAGAAGAAAAAAAAAGAAGAACAAAAGAAAAGAAAAAAGAAAAATAATCAACTACAAGGTACAAGCCCACAATGCTTGAAACAGCATCTATATCTGTGCTTATATGTGCATGAATTTACTCCCTACAGGTTTAGCCTAAGAAAAAAAGAAGCACAGTAAAGTAGGAAAAATAGTTTACCAGGCACAAGAAAGGGGAGAAAATAATCCAAGACAAATATGGAAATGGATGTGCCACAGTCCCACAAGCATTTAGCTCTACACAGAAAGTCCGAAAGGGCGGGCTGTCTCATCCTGCAAACATGGGGACACCAGGGCACAGCCAGGAGCACCACAGGCAGCGGCGGCTGCAGGCACCCAGCAGAACCAGGTGGTAAGGATGGGATGGCAAGGAGCCACCACAGAGCCTCCAGGCTTCCCTCCTGCCCCTGCTGTGTCCCACAGCCCTGACCAAAGGCTAAGCCCTACCTTGAAGAGGGCAGCATCCTCCTCACGGTTGTAGTCCTGCTTGCCAGCATGCTTCCAGGGGATGCGGAAGATGCTCTTCTCATCATTCTCCCACACCAGCCCCGGGTACTTGCCGCTGTCTATCTGGTCGATCAGCCATTGGCGGAGTTTCCCGTTGCCACAGCTCACCGAGTTCATCCCGCACTCGCCTGGCTCCAAGTTCATGCCACTCGTGTCAGGGATCGGGTGGGAGGTTTAGGGGTGCCTCACCGAGCCCACCTCTCCACACACACTGGCTCCCTGGGGGGACTGCAGGGAAGGGGAAAAGGGGCAGGATGGAGGGAGAGGAAAACACACAGGTCAGCTGATGGACTAAGCCCTTATGTAGGGACCTGCCAGTGGTCCCCAGTCCCTGGCACCACCAGCATCACCCCAGGCAGCAGCTACAGCATACAGAGGGGCTCCAGATGAGCCCTGGGAAACACGGTACAGAGCCTCAGGAAACCGGGCACAGCTCCCCCAGCCCTCCCCAGGCACCACTGGTGCTGCAGACTTTGACAAACTTCCCCCCTGTCCCGACACTGTTTTGCATGAACATACAAGGGCTGTTGAAATTCTCATCGCAGGTGACTTAAGGCACAAACCCCTTGTCCTGCTCAGAGTTCAACTGGGCTTTTTTACTTTTTAAAAAGGTAAAAAATTGCATAAAAATGTATTTGCACATGACAGTGCACATCTGTAACATTAAACACACACACAGAGCTCTCCAAGAGCTTCACGTACAGTTATGATTTATACGGCATCTAACTATAACATCAAAGTAGTTTTCACAAGCTCACTTACGCAAGACACATTTGAACACATGATGTCCTATACATATCTACCCCTCCAACTGCTCCCAGCACGCATATGTAGCAACATTCAAATCTATACATAGCAAATACCTAAAAGTGGAAAGACAGCAACCCACAGAGCCCGGCATAAGGGCACTGACTCTCCCCAGGCACACGGGAGCTTGCAGGCAGCCACCCAGAGCCCTACCTACATGCAGATCACTGGGAGCTGTGCAGCCCTGCAGTGATGGGCACCCACTGGAAAGGTTCTAACATGAGCACCTCAACACCAGTGATGGGGACTTGGTGTCAGGTTTGTCTCGCTGAGCTAAAAAGGTACCCAAAAGCTCAGTTTGGTGGGTTCCCCCCTCTCCCCCTGCTTACATCTAATAAAGTGATTCCTCACATGCAGCCTTTGCCTCTCTCTTTATACAGGGAGACTTCGAGAGATCTTGTCTGACAAGTGCACACAACTGGGGGCGGGCAGGCAGCTCTGCACCCCTTACACCCCTCCTCAGCCCGCAGCATCCCCCCAGACACCAAACCTGGCACCCGAACTTCTTCCCAGGGTGCCTGGCAGGTGGCCGAGGCCGCGGCTCCCCCACGCGTGGAACCCCTGCAGAGACCCCCCCAAAATGCTTTCCCCTTCATTAGGCAGAGCATGAAGCAGATACCCCACACCCGTTCCCGCGACCCTCCCCAGGGCAGGAGGAACCGGCAGGGCTGGCAGCTGGTGCGCGCCTGCACCTCAGGAGCAGATAACGGGGCGGGTATTAATTACTGTTTCGCTTTAAATTACCGGGAAAATACTATAACAATAATTTTAAAAGAGCCAAACGGCTCGCTCAGGTGCCG